AAGTTGAAAACTTTAAACTTTGGCGCACAAGGTGGATTTGCCGACTGCCGGCACCACTTCCATTCTTCATGGACCGGCCGGTGGCGGCAAGCTCAGCTGCTACGGCGATCTCCGCGGCCTGGCGGCTGGAGAATATTTGCCCTGCGGTAACGGGCGCTACCGTGGTGGCGCCGCCGTCGCTGCTGCGCTGCCGCTCGCTCCTTCTACGATCGATGTCAAGGGCGTGTCTGTGTGTGCTGGTCCTGTCTCTCCCCTCCGCCCTCTCTGCGGGCGCGAGCTCGCCGCCAGCACAGCGCCACACATTGCCACATGCATATGCATGTCAACCATGCTGGATCGGTCTCGCTTTCATAGCGTGACCCGTGCATCTCGCATATACGCTGCAGCAAGCACTAGTCCACGGGGTATTGTACGCGTGTGTGAATGTTTCCAAACGGAACAGTTGTGCTGGGGTATTGCCCGGCCATTGTTGACTTAGAGCGGCAGAGTTGATGGTTGGTGTTGTTTCGCAGGGGCAGATTCCTGGGGGGGAAATGATAGATGAAAGGGTCTCATTTCCCGTCAGGTCAGGGTACATCTCCGTTGTTGAGACAAGTAGCCACGGCAGGGTATACCCTGGGCCTTTTTGGACGCACCCGGGTGAAACTGGGCGCTGACCAACGATTTGAGTGCATTTACTCCTGTTGATGACTGTGTACCCAGGTGAGTCGCCTTTCGACCAGGGTATACCCTGATGTGTCGTCCCCCCCCCCAAAAAAAAAACGAAGCGCATCACTCACCACACCGCGGAGGAACATGAGCCACCTGGGCAGCAGCTCCTCGAACTTGTCGTTGATGAAAACACGCTTCACGTAGAGGCGCATGTTGCGGCTGGTCTCGTCGAACATGTTGCGGCTCAGCTCGTACGGCAGCACGCTAGGCACGAAGAGGAGCGCGCGGAACTCGACCTGGCCCTCGAGCGAGAAGTGGGTGTGGGCTGCCACCTCATCCCACGCCTTGAAGGTCGACTTGTAGAACTCCGAGTACTCCTCTTCCTTCACCTCGCGGGGGCTCCGCATCCAGATAGGCTTCATCTTGTTCATGCGCTGCAAAAGAACAAACGCAAAAAATAATGAAGGACGGAAACAAGATATGAACGACGACCATGACGACAGAGTATGTTCTTGTCGACAATCCTTATGCTACTTAGACATCAGCCTTCCGAATGGCATATGATTGCAGGCGAGTGTGCTGGCGCTCGGCGAGGCTATCATAGGTTTCCGCCGCCGGTGCTTGGAAGAAGAAGCGAAGACCACCAAGTAGCGAACTCGACGGGAGTCAAGGGACCAACTAAACAGTCCCTTGCAAACTCAACCACACCAGCTTTGAGGGGAGTCCAGGAAAACCAGAAAATCAACGCTCACCCACCGCACAATATAGCAGTTATAGAGCTGGAAAAAAAGAGCGTACGTCAAAACTGCCACCTACGCCCACACCTGGCATCTCTCGATAAAACAATGACCAATATAAGTAACAGCAGAAAATTAAATACGTATCACGTACATGTATAAAAAAAAAAAAAATGTTACGTACGCCCAAAAACACAACCATCACCCAGAGAACGAACCTCCCACTGCATGGCGGTACGCGTCACGGTCTTCATCTTGGGCTCCTCGCCCTCAGCCACCTCGACCGAAGTGTCGGGCACCTGGTCGTAGGAGGTCTTCTCCGCCCACACCTCGATGGGGAAGGAGATGAACTCCGAGTAGCGGGTGCTGAGCTCCTTGATCTGCCGCAACAATTTGACCGACGGTATGGAGGGCGGGCGGTTGTTCGTGAACTCCAAAGCTCACTGCTGCTGTTGTTGATCTGCGTGGAAACGTTGCTAAAAGTACATAGTATCGACATACCAGACATCATGAAGTACAGCCAAACAAACTCGCACTTGCATCTCAGGCGTTGAGAACCAGAGATTTCTAGCCCTCGTCACGAATTCCTGACGTGCAGGCACGCCAAGTATAGGCGTTGCTCTTAGAAACGAAACTTTCACGGCGTCACCGGTTGCTTACGGTACCGGTTGAGCACCAACCATGGCTCACCTTGAAGTCGTCGAGGTACTCCTCGCTGTCTTCCTTCAGGTGGAGCACGATGCGAGTTCCGCTGCCCTCGAGCTGGTCGGACTGGTCTTCCTTGATGGAGTACGAGTTGCTCTGCTGCGACTCCCACTTGTACTGCAACCGGTAGGGGAAGGGGTTGGCATTCGTTTCGGCAAAGGCGAGAAGGTCTTTAGTCTTCAAGCGACGCAGCAATTGACGCGTTGTTGGTGACAGCGAACCTAATTAGGAATCCGCACGCAAAGAGGAGGACATGGACCACCGGGAAAAAAGCAAGAATATGCCCGTCGGGTAGAAATCACGCAATACAAAATGCACAATCAGCGACAAAAACAACGGCAGTGAAAACATGGGGGGGAAGGCAGCCTTTACCACACTTGTATCAACGAGAAAAATCAGCAGCCGATGCTACATACGATGCTGCTGCGTGGCACACATCGGGACACACCGTGCTTGTGCCGTAAAGCGCTTACCTGCGGGGCGTCGGGAGTCTGGCAGCTCCTGGTATACACGGTGACCTTGTCCGCCACAAGGAACGCGGAGTAGAAACCCACACCGAACTGGCCGATCAACGACACGTCCGTTTCGCCCTGAAGGTTCACCAGACACGTGTACGGAAATAGAGCAGCAGCAAGGTCAGATGCGGAGGGGGGTTGGGAGACGGGCTCGAGAAGAGTGGCAACGGAGAAAAGAGGAATAGCTACTCTGTCTACCGCCACAGCCAAGCGTCTTGGCCTCACACAGAGCGGGGGAGTGTCAACGCTTTGTGTTGTAACAAAATCGCTACTCCTATGTTTAAGACTAGCCCAGAGACGGACAGCACACAGCAATACACAAAAGTATTGGTACACAGCAGTAGTAGGTCATCATGAATGCAACACCGGGCAATAGCAGTGGCACAGACACGACTGCTGTTGTGGCAATCGTAGAGGGGCAGCCCAACAGCCTCGAAATTGCTACTGTTCTTCGCACGTGCACCCACCCCACCGAACTGTAGAAGGGCCTTCCTGTCCTGCTTACATTCTTGATGGCTTCCATGAAGTTGGCCGTTCCCGACTCGGCGATTCTTCCGAGGTTGTTCTTGAGCTCGTCCTTGGTCATACCCACACCAGAGTCCTCGATGATCAGAGTCTTGGCGTCCTGCAAGAACAGCATCATGACAGCAGTCGGCACCCGGCACACGAACAAAGCAGAGATCTGTCACGCTACTGCTTGTCATGGTGCCACACACGGCGGTGTGACGACACAAAACAACACTTTGGGTGTTGGGCTCATTGATTCAAGAAGATGTGCTACCCTAGGGAGGATACCGGCGTAGCACATATTGCAGGCGGAGAGCGCGTAGGCAACTACAAGTCACATCGAGTTAGTTAACTAGAGAAGTTGTTGTGCGTGTGTCAGCGTGAACATGTTACGCCTCGTGTTTTTCGTCAAGAAATTACGCATGATTCAGCCACAGCTTCTTCCACGTCACATGTCCACCAGATATGTAGATATCCATCGTTTTTGGACGTGTCATGTAGAGGGAAAAAGTAAAATGTCACCAGGGAAACAACAGTTCAAACAAGGCACACCACGAGCACCAGCACGCCACGCACGTCATGGCGGAGAGCTGCATGCGAGCTGGCCTCTGTGGTGACCTGTACGAGAGGCAGCCGTTTTGCTTCCAACACCGCACACGCGTCAACCGCACAGACCCAGCAGCGGAAACGCGCTCCCAACCGTCCATCCTTTTTTTTGTGTTGGCAACCAAGTTTTTCAGGCACGCAACACAGCGACCCGCCCCAAAGACGAGGCCAACAACCTCCCGTGTGTTCGGGTCCATTCGTGTTGTGGACGCAAACCCCTTGCTTCGTGTCGGCCAGCCACCCATGCGAGACCTGCAACTACAACCGCAACCAAAGCCGGCTCGCTCTCGGTGGGCCTCTCGACGGCCGCCACGTAAGATCAACTTGCGAGTTCAACAACATGTTTTCAGCAAAACCACTGCCTCAACACAACTCTCGCGAGACAGCAGCACCGAGCAACCACCAACAACCCAGAAGGGGCGCGGAGAGAGCCTTCGAGGGTGAACTGCAGCTGTGGTGGGGATGACTGACTGACTGACCTTGTCCGCGCGGACGCGGATGCGGTACTCCGGGTCGTCATCGGATCCTCCCTCGTCCGCGCCCGAGTCGGTGACCGCGAGGAACCTCTTCTTGTCGCACGCGTCCGCCGAGTTCGAGATGAGCTCCCTGAGGAACACGTCCCTGTTGGAGTACAGGGAGTTGATGATGATGTCCATCACGCGCCCCACCTCCGCCTGGAACTCGAAGCGCTCCTCGCCGTCCTCCACCGCGGCCTCCTCGGTCGCCTCCGCCGTCTCCGCCATCCGCAGGGCAGCCACGCGACGGCCGGCTACGCCTTGCCTTCGGCCGGTTACCCATACGCTGGCCTGCTGCAAGCTCGGCACGGGGTCGGAGTTCTGCGACAACGCGCGGCGGCTGGAGAGGCTGGCGGTGGTGGTGGTGGTGGTGGTGCGGGGGCGCACTACGCCTCCAGTGAAGCCTTGGGTCTGAGACGCCAGGCTGAGGCCCAAGAGAGCGGCACACGCTCGAGTGGCGGCGGTAGCCATGTTAGTAGCTTGCAATATGAACAGGGTTTGCCAGAGAGGATGGTAAAACACCGCCTGGTAATGTGGTCGGTGTTGGGGGGCAAGGCCAGAAGCAGAGGGCGCGTTGCTCTCGAGTAGAGTTGCAGTCAGTGCCACCACAGCAGCGGCGACACGCCACGCCATTTTCTAGATTTTTCGGGAGTCCGCGAGATCAAAATGTATGTGTTGTTGAACCCCCCCTGTTTCTCTTCTTGTTCGTGTTGCCCCCCAACCAAAACCAAAACCTGCCAGACGGCAGAGGGCACGGCCGTGTTGCTGTGCGGCGTTGCCTTGGGCTCCTGGGATTGTGTGGACCGGAAAAGGACATTTGTACCAACAATCACGCGCTATTTTGCTTTACTTGCAGGTACAAGCCACCACCGTGCTCCGGTAAGGTGGATATACCTCTCGCAAAGAGGCACACGATCTTCCTCGATAATAGAGAGCGAAGGAGCGGAGGATCGCGGGTTGTTTACCCAACACCAATGTCGAGGCTGGGGGCTCTGCTGCTAGTCTGGCTATGCCATCTGCTGCTGACCGAGGGCCAGGAAAAGGTGTCCATAGCTGTGATTGGCTCTGGGATAGGGGGCTCGGCAGCCTCTTATTTTCTCAGGGAGGCGCTGGACGACGATCTTCATACCAAAATCGTCGTGTTCGACAGTGCAACCAAGATAGGGGGCAGGACAGCGGTGAGTCGTTGAGTTATATGCGTAGATAGAAGCCGAATCAAACCATAGACTATTATAGTCAGCGCTGACTATAGACTGCGCCATTGGCCTGATATCAGTTTGTGTTATTGCTGTTGAGAAACAACAATTTCCGCTGCCGCTCTGGCGCTCGCATGCTCCAGATCTCTATGTTTTGTGACAGCAGAATATGCATACATCCGTGGTCTTGTTCATTGTACATACATGCAGACTATTCGTTCGTCCCTAAAGATCGTGTGTGCCTCACAGCTCCTGTTTGCAAGGGAAATCATTCGAATACAACTACCGTACTACAGAGTCAGGGTCTCCAAACAAGGCGGCCTCGAACAGTGCTGGGGCCCAGTGTACTGTAGTTCGACGTCAAAGCCGGTCGTCACGGACCTTAGCGGCCTACTCTAACCTCGTCGTAACGACACATTTCGAGACATTTCGAGACATTTCGAGGGCCACCGAACGGAACATCCCCAGTTCTAATTCGGTGCTGTCGACACCCGATGACGCCTGCACGAAGCGGTGTGTAGCTGGTGGAGTTAGGTGCTTGCGGCCCGAAGGGATCGGCCCGGGGTGGCATCTACGAGTTTTGTGGAGGCGCCGAGTCCCCGCGGGAGATCGGCAACAGTCGGCGTTTTCAGGGTACATCAAGGTTGAACGTTTCGACATTTCGCAACTCTAGAAACGCTCATGGAATTGTTGCACGTTCGTTTTCACCCTTTTGCTGTCTGCCGTTGTTTTTTTGGCTTCGTGTTGCACAACCGGTTGACTGCTGTGGTGGTCCAAACTGTCTTGGCTACTCTTTACGCGGATGGCAGCACTATGTGCACGACGGGAAGGTGCTCGAGAGTGGCGCCTCCGTCATCTACACAGGCAACGCCTACCTGTTCAACCTCACCGAGCGCGTCCACCTGAACAAGCTTGACCCCAGCAAGCAGGAAGGGCCGAACACGGGACTGTGGGACGGAGAACGGTTTGTCCTCAAGACGACCAGTTCGGGCATAGCCAACCTCGCTCGCATGGTGTGGCGATACGGAATGTGAGGTGCTTTCGTGGTGGCAGGGCTGGTTGTTCCTCACACCCAGTATTGATAAGACACAAGATATTCTTGCGGCAGGTTTCGGATGAGGTTATACATCCATGCGGCACAGCAGGTACACTAGTAGCCGCGGTAATGGTGATAGCTTCAGTAGGTTCGTGACAGTGATTGGCCGAAACACCCCCGCGCTGCGACAGACATAATACGCCGTCCGCGCGCATGTTCCATAGACAACACACGACAGCGCTGAATTGCGTACAACTGGCACCGTTGCACTATGCAATCTTGCGGCGTGTTCCGTCTCAACGCGTAATCCCACAGGTCATTGCTCAAGATGAGGTCCATGGTGTACGAGGCCCTAGCAAAGTTCGACCGTATTTATGACCTACAGGCGGACGGCAGGGTGTTCGAGACGCCGGAAGACCTGTGGAGTGAGTGCCTTACGTGCTGCTGTGTTCCTCTTTAGCTCCTCTTCAGACACCGAGACCTCCTGCACAAGGGGGCTGGGGGGTGATTTCAGGTATCGCTGAGTGCTGCAGCTCTAGCACGCATAACCCTGCTGGAGAAGCGTTTCGGATGTTGTTTGGAAACAGTAGTCTTATCTCGCTTCTGGGGCCGCTACACGACCCGTTTTCGCGTGATCAACTTGTTTGCAGGCTGTTGATTTGTTGTCGCTCCGTTGTCCTCGTGTCAGTACAGTAAGCCATTTGCGTTACAGCGCCAGCCAGATCCAACCAAGGACCAAGGCGCTCGATCGCGTCGAATTTGCCGACGGGCGACATTATCAACCTCCACAGGTGCAACTACACGACCGATGGAGGGTACACCTTTCATTGCGAACGGCCAATCTCGAAAACAAGTCCAAACAGGCGGGCCTGTCGAGGCTATTGCCCGACGTTTCTACTTTAAACAGCAACGTTTTCAACCCTCGCTGTTGCAGAAACTGGAGGGACCGTTGTTTTGTGACTGCGTTGTTTTTGCAGGCGAGGTAGGCCTTCTCGGTCTAGCACGGATGACCATAGCGGAATACTTCGAACAGCGGGTCGGGCGGGCAGGGTCGTTGGTGGAGGTTGAGCTAGCGCACGCCGCCAACAGGGTAAACTACAACCAGGTCGGTGCGTCTTTTTGAAGGGTGTTCGAACCGGCGGTGCTAGAAAAAGGGCGGTTAGAGGTATTTAGTCTACGGCTACGCTAACCGGAGATAGTTTCAAGCCGAGATTGGAGCGACCCTCGCCGTTTGTTGTTGTAGTTGAAATGAAGGTATTCGGGACCACCCTTTGGAGAAAAGCCAGTCCGAACACTTGGAAACCCCGTCTCAGTTGAAAATACATACTTCCTTAACAACAATGGCGGCAGAGCTGTGCCTTCCCACAGCTACGTCATGGGCACAATCCAAACGCAAGGAGGCGAGCAAGTCCGTGCTTAAACTGTTGCCTTTTCCCCTCATCAGGGCAACGGTCTCAACGCGCTCGCGGGTGTCGTCAGTCTCTGCCCGGCCGTCACCGGAGACCTGTTCAGCGTGGAAGGGGGAAACGCCCGCCTTTCAGAGGTACGATCGATCAAACCGCTTGTCAAACACACGGATGTCGTCCAACTAACTAGAGAGAGAGAGAGAGAGAGAGAGAGAGAGAGAGAGAGAGAGAGAGAGAGAGGTGCTAGAAGAAACTAGAAGGGTTTCGAGGACTCTTCACGTTGTCCCAGAAACTGGAACATGCTTCTTTGAGTCGAAAGTACATCGCGATGCCGTGCTATGGAATTCTTAAATCCACGACAAAGACACGAGGCCATCTGTGCCAAGAAACAGTACGTACAAGATCACGACAGAAAACATCGACACTTGTCTACCCTACTTGCCGACTCGCCATCCCTTCTTGGCGGGCGTTTTTTCAGACGCTCCATCTCCTTACCTGTGTGTGCATGCCTCTCGCAGGAACTCCTTGGCGTTTCGGCAAGCGAGGTACGACTCAACACTAGCGTGGCGAGAGTTGTCGGCAGCGCCAAGGGAGGATACTCGCTCTACGGTCAGGGTGAAGATACGCTAGGGACGTTTGACGCTGTGGTTATTGCTACCCCGATCGGACTGGCGGGCATCTCCCTGGACATGCGTGGAGAGGTAAACATAACTATCACGACGAAAAAATTTCCTGTTCCCTTCATACTTTTTGGCAAGGGTCTTGGGCAGTCATGGTGTAGGCGTGACGGGGTACTAGGGAATCCCACCTGTTCGCCAAGTTGTGATCACGGGCAATCCTATTTTGAAGTTTGAACCAAAACGTCCGGGCTGTTTTGCGGCACGTTCGAGTAAGAGGTTACAGTGACTTTCTTTCAGGACCTGCTATCCAAACCGAAGACCCGTGCGCTCGGCGCACCAAGACAAGCAACGAGGCGTTTGAGAAAAATCTGACCGGGTTTCGGCTCTGCACTTGCGTGGGTCCAACAACTTGTACACGTAATCAATGCTCTGCTTTTTTCCACCTGATACGAAAAGAGTTTCCAGGAACCCGTGTCTGCGTCATAGATGGACCACTGGTACCCTCAACCTCTCCGGCCCCTTTCGCCTCTCCCCGCTCCGCTCGAATTCCGCCACATGTCGCACACCCAACCGGCGGCTGCGTAGGACGGGAGTCCAGAAACCCCGATACAACCCTTGCCGGTCGTCAAATACCAAGAGGTGCACACGACCTTCGTGCGCGGGGTTGTGGATGGCGCGTACTTCGGCCTAGGGAAAGGCGAGGAGGTGCCGAACAGCGTGCTCCTCACCGAGCGGGCGGCTGGCCTGGCGTTCTCGTCCCTTGCGCTCAAGACCTGGGTCGGTGATCCCGCTGACGGCGTCGGTGTTTACAAGCTCTTCTCGAGGTACAGCCTGTTGTAGGCTGCGTGCGGACAGGCGGGAGCGGATTCTAAGTTAGGTTAGGCACATCATATATATATGACTTTCGGTTTTGTGATGCGCAGCAGAAGGGTCATGTGGTGGGTGGTGAGTTAAATACTACGCGCCCGCAGTTTTCCCACTCGAAAAGTTTATGTTCGTCGATTTCTGATTGGCTGTCGAAAACCCTTGGGGGGTGGGAGGCATATCCCAGGGTCGAAGCGCAACTTTTTCCGGAGATCTGCTTGGCCGTGTACGGGATGTTGTCTTATCAGATCCCTATTAAGTCCGAAATGTTCACAACTTCTCAGAAGGGAGGATTTGTCAGACTTGTTTCTGAGCGCAATTACCCCGTTTTTCGGTGCTGGAGGAGGTGGTCCAAAAAAAACGCCTCGTGTCAATCGATTCAACCGGAACCTGAGTCCATTGAGTCTGTCAGAAGCACGAGCTTTGCGTTCGAAAATTATCATGACACCAAATCGACATCTTTCTAGCCAAGAGTTGTATGCATAGAACGTACTGAGCAGAGACCGGATCGTTTTTATTGTGACGATAACGACAGATTTTTCCCTTCGCTCTCGGCGGCCGCCTCTCTCGCTGGTTGGTTCGCAGGCAAGAGCTGTGGACGGGAATGCTGGACTCGTTGTTCGTTCAAGGCTCTTGGGAAATCTTGCACCACCGGGAATGGCGCGCGTACCCCGTTCTCGACCCCAAGAAGGTGAGAATAGGAGGAGGCCGAAGTCTAGGCTATTAGTTGGTGTGGACAATTTAGAGGATAGCGGGAGCAGTCTCACTTGCTGCTTGTCGATTTGGCCAGGCCATTAATCACCTATCTCAGCTGTCACAAATGACGCCAACCTCTTGGTTGTATATTGGCTACGGATTTCTCGTTTCCCTCTCATCCCAAATCAAGTGTTGGTGCCCGCTTCCCTCTCATCCCAAATCACGCCTTGGCAGCGTACTCAGCCGTCACCGCCGACAAAACTGGCAATTGATTTTTGGCATGATGGCAAATCACTCGCGAATTAAAGCCTAGCCCGCCACCCATGCCACTGCTTTTTTTTTCTCATGTTTCGGCCCCGAACACACCTCTGTGCACCGGGCAGGCCTTCACTCGCGCCAAGCTGTTCGCAGGGCATCCGGTTTGGTACGTCTCGTCGCTGGAGGAGGGCGTCAGCGCAATGGTGAGCCCAATGTTAGACCTGGTGCTACACCGCAGGATTTGTTTAGTTTAGAGATCAATTTTAGTTTTGTTGTTTGCGAGGAACACGGGGTGATGGCGTTTATTATAGTCGCCAGCGGCCGTCTAGAGTCGCCGCTCATCTCCTTCCACGGTAATTTCCTTCTCCGAATAGTTTTGGCACGGTTTGGAATGGTTTTGTCGTATCACTGCTGTACTTTGCAGCAGCGGCGCCCTATAGTTTGGCAGTGCTTGCTCTGGGCCGCACTTGTCCTTGCTGGCTGCTGTTTCTCGACCGCGTCTTGGAATACGTTGCTACTATAGGCCTGGACCAGTCGGGTATTGGCTGGATGATGTCAAGGCCAAAGCCACTGCCACAAACCTACTTGCTAATGAGACGAGTGCTCGTAGGCCCATATCAGCTAAGTAATGAAAACCTCAAGCGCCCCCGCCCCTTCGTGTGTTGCCAACGGTTTTAAACATCTCAGGAAGTGGTCGTCATCGCCGCAAAAAATGCCGCTCTTGGCGTAGCGGAGGCTCTGAGATCCAGAAACAGCCAACCAGGTCGTGTACAGGAGGCCAACTTGGCAGCAGATACGGGCAGTGTAGATGCAGCAGCGAGTGCCGAGCTGTGACATGTTGAAAAGGGTAACCATGATTTAATACTGGTTCATGCGTATGGACAGGTTCTTTTCAAACGCTGTGCAAGTGAATGTGTGCATCCGGCAATTGTAGCATATGTATGAATAAATGTACATGTTTCCCGACCTGCTTGTTTCGTGCAAGCTGCCCCTGATGTCTCAGTTGTGTGTAGTCCTTAGACACGAGGCAGGTATTTAACTCTCGAAGCAAGGTTATGCCTGCGGAGAAATCGCAGCTATCAAGATAGGGGAGTTTGTGTGTGCGAGTGAAATTTCTTGTCAGACCCCACTCGCCGGCTGTGTGCTAAATGTGAAATATGACGGGGGCGGGAGATGCAACGGAGGCCTGCTGTGGGTGCTGGAAAGATTGGTGGTAGCCTGTTCTCTGCTCACCGGGAATCTTCCGAAAGGGGAAGCAGATTCGACCCCATCCTATTAACAATATTTGGTAACTTTCGTGCTCGCTTCGTTCCCATTTCGTCTCAGTCTAGCCCCAAGTACACCGTGACACATAATAGCCCCTCGAGCTGTCGAGCGACAGTACTTGGGAGCGAAATTCGACCTCATTTTGGAGTGGCTGCTACGGTCACAATCGCCAAGTTCTCTTCGCGATGTCTCGGAGCCTTGTCTTCGTGCGTATCACACGTATTGCGCACACCAAGAGGTATCGGGTCGAATGTAAGAGGTATCGGGTCTAAAGTGTTCAATTCAGCTTCCTGCGGTTTGTTGCAGGCACCCTGTCAATTTTGGGCGTGTGTGTTTCCAAGAATGGCCGGTGAAAATAAAAATTAATTTTGGAGGCTAAAATTGGTGAGCGGGCGTGTTTCTCTTCCAAGGCGCTACTGTACCAAGGCAAAAAAAAACTGGAGAGGTACTTCGTAATTTTGGTGCACGATTCACAAAACTCCCAGGACAACGCCGCTGGGTGTGCATCCTTACTACTGCAACAGGCGGTAGGTCTTCGTTCACCGTGTATGCGCACATGCCGTTGCGACCTGCAAAGGATCGGTTACCAAGCCCGAAACAGTCCACTAATGTCCGTGCCGTAATGGCAGTCACACTTCCGACGATTTCCAGTCGATGGTCAGAACTACCGCTATCGTTCTTACATAGTCGCCCTTTAGTTCTCACTAGGGAGAGGTTCGACAAACATGTACATATGCGGGAAACAAAGGATTTTATTCACGTGTGTTTCGGGCGGAAGATTCGTGTTCCCAAAAGTCTACCGCAGTACATACAGACCGGATGGACGTGTATGTGTCACCAGGGAGGGAGCAATCTCCACCACCTCGGATTTCCATCTAACAAGTACAGAGGGCGACTAAATACACGATCTGAAACAAACCCTGAAAGTCACTATGCAACTACTTCACACATGCACAATCGTGCACAGCAGAGCAGAGAGCAGGCACAAGACAGCTCGATCTGCTTCACCGTTGTTGTCGATCAGCACGAGAAGTACAACATCGGGGCAATTCCTTTTCGGAATTCTGGCATTTTCTTTTTCAGGAGGGTGGTGGGAAGAACCCACCGTTTTTTGTTTTTTTTTGGACTCCGAATTCGAAGACATTTTTTTTTTTCGGGTGCATCATCTGCACCACTCGCAAGACTTCTGCTCCACCTGCAGCCAACCACTCAGAATAGATATCCTATTCACAAAAACCATGTACCACTGCTCTTCTTCTGTGTGCTCCTGCCTGCAACGCCACTACTGTGGAAAATGGCTTCGGCGACTCACATTCCAAACAAAACGCGAAACTTCAAAAAGTGGACCTTTCGGTCGTTCTTGGCACATGGCAACACGCAAAAATCGCAATCCATCACCCTGGGGCGCGTACTAACCTCCATGCTACACTATATAATACGTGTTCTGCCAACGCAACCAAAGGCCTTCAAAGTTGAACTGACGAAAGGTCACCACGTCTGCCACCTGCGACGATATTAAGACGCCGCCCTACACTACATCTTGCGGACTATTTACAAGTATACGTGAGGGGGTACTATCTCCACTACTCACCCCATTACGCACAACGCAAAAAACTGAACACACATAAAACGTACACAAGGCTGCGTGAGCGCAGAGGCCTTTCCCCCTCGTATCAGTTTTACCGAGAGAGGCTTCTGCCCAATTGCATATAAAACGAAAAAACCAGTGCAGAACACTGCAGGTAACACCACCTTTCGTTCTTCCACCGATGAATTACTCTACTCATGGTGCTGCCATCGCTGTAGCTTTCTGCCCCGCAGCAACAAACCGTTCGACCAGCAGTAGATGATTGTGCTTTTTGTTTTCAGTAGGCCTGCGTCAGCATCATCGGCGGGGGACGGGGGCGCTCATCACAGGGATGAAGGTGAGCAGGGCCTGCATTCATCTTCGCGTGCTGTTGCTGCTGCTGCCGCCGCCGCCGCCGCCGCTGCTGCTGCTGCCGGGCGTTGGCCCCGTCGCCAACTTCCTCGCACGGAGGCATGCCGAACCGCATGCCGGGCGGGCCGGGGGCGGGCCGGGCACGCGGTGGTGTAGACCGGCAGGCCCGCGGTCATGGTGCCGTCCTCCGCTGTGTCCGTGGTGGAACGGGTGCATTTGGCGGTCGCCATGGCGACGAGGGCCGCGCTGTCCGCGTAGCTGCGGGGGGGGGTGCAGTCCGTGGGGAGGGACATGCCGCCCGGCATGCATCATCGCCATTTCTTCTCCTTCGCTCTCGCCGTGGTGGTGGTGGCCGGGTCCGTGGGGGGACATGTGCATTTGGTGGTCGGGCATGAACATGCCGTGGCGACGACGGCCGTGTTTTCCGCGTAGGTGCCGGGGGGGGTGCAGTCCGTGGGGAGGGCCGCGCGGCCCGCGCGGCCCGGCACGCATCATGGCCATTTCTTCTTCGCCTTCGCTCTCGCCGCCGTGGTGGTGGTGGCGGTCGGGTCCGTGGTGGAACGGATGCATTTGGCGGTCGCCATGGCGAGGGCCGCGCTGTCCGCGTAGGTGCGGGGGGGGGGGCAGTCCGTGGAGAGGGCCGCGCGACCCGGCATGCGTCATGGCCATTTTTTTTTCCCCTTCGCTCTGGCCGCCATGGTGGTGGTTGTGGCCGGGTCCGTGGTGGAACGGGTGCATTTGGCGGTCGCCATGGCGAGGGCCGCGCTGTCCGCGTAGGTGCAGGGGGGGGGGCAGTCCGTGGGGAGGGCCGCGCGACCCGGCATGCGTCATGGCCATTTCTTCTTCTCCTTCGCTCTCACCGCCGTGGTGGTGGTGGCCGGGTCTGTGGTGGAGATGCATTCCACCGGTTTCTTCGAACGGTTCGGGAGGTGGTCCGTGGGTAGGGCTTGGCGGGCGGCGGTGATCACGGCGAGCAGGACGCCTTCCAGAACTGTGGCCGTGGCGGTGCGGCGGAGGGCCATGCGGAGGCGTGCCACTAGGCCTACCCATACCTCCGCCGCGGTGGTGGTGGCCACGACCTCCAGGGCGACCGTGCTGCTGGTGAGGAGGACCACCCCGCCTGCCGCCAGGCCTGGATCGCCAAAGCTCTTCGCGTTGCACGAGTCCGAGCTTGACTAGGCGGTGAGGTCCTACGCCCAGCGCACGGAGCAATGGCCTCGTTTCGCGGGGCCGGAGCCGGACGCCTGCGGCTACAAAGACCGCCTGGATGGGGTGCTTGCTGGCTCCGGCCTCGAAGCCGATGCTGTCCTGGGTGACGATGTTGTCGTTCTCCGTGTCTCCGCCGTCGCTGCTGTTGCTGCTCAAGTCGTCCGAGAACTGGTTGTTCGCCTGCTTTGGCTCGACTTCGGATCCGCTGCTGCTGTCGGTGCTGTCCGTGTCAGCGCCAGCAGTTGAAGTTCCCTCCAGGAGCACCTTCGGGGCAAGTCCCTGCGCCACGAGGCGGGCGGGGCGGAGCTCAAGCAGGACCATGGTCGTCTCCAGGCCGCCCGGTGTCATGCTGGGGACACCGTGGTACCCGCGAATGTTCCTCGCTGCGGCCTTGTACATGAGAGGGTTTGGCTCTCCTGCGCGCTTGCAGCTGGGCTTGCTCGTCACGAACTCGGTCATGCTGATGTCGTTGTTGCTGTTCATTGTGTTGCTGTTGCTGGTGGTCTTGATGCTGTCCATAATTTGTGTGAGGAGGTGGGGGCGAGAGGGTGAGGGCGAAGGGGGCACGACGAGCGGCGTAATTTCTAGAAGATCGCCTTTCCGGACGTTCTTTGGGAGTCTGGGAAACGTTCCTTGGGTTCTTCAAGATCGTTTTCGAACTTCTCGAATGACTTGTTTTTTTTATTTCATTCATCAGTATGACCCAACGAATTTTGTTTGTTTGTCACGACGGACTTGCACGGACATTCATTCGTTTTCTTTGCCCTGGAGAGTAGGGAACCCGTCACGACATACCAAATATACCACGTCGATAGACTTTTACTACTGCTGTAAAGACGATGACAACAACAAAACAATAAGAGCAGTAAAAAAACAAGGGGTTATGATAAAAACAAGAGATGACCACCGTGGGATTCGAACCCACGAGTACGAATACATGACGACCTGAACGCCACCCGATAGACCGCTCCGGCAGATGGTCATTTGCCATGATGATGTCTGCCGATCGACCAAACCCTTGTAGAGCACTGACTGAAGAGGACAAACAAAAATAATTATGCACCCCCCCACAGGGACGTATAATAAGTAAATAATGTAATAAGCCATGTATGTGCACTCACACCTACCTACCTACCTTTCTTTTTCACCGACGACGGAAACCCTGTGTGAGGAACGGGTGTCACGAACATGTTCTTCCACCTGTCGCTCAACTACAGGCAGGCGCAGTGTTCTTTCCAACCAGCAACTACCATGAACCCGGCTATTATTATAATCTCTGACGACGCTAATTAATAACCCTATAATAATAAAAAACCCCAAACAACCCTAAACCAACCCAAACCCACACTCAACCAATAGGTGCCAGGTTGGCGCAGGGTGGCTCAGTTCTAGGTTGGTGCGCCTGCATTGGGGCTGGGTTAGCGCTGGGTGGCTCGGTTCGAGGTTGGTACGCCGGCATGGCGCTAGGTTGTTGGTATTGTTCCTCCTGACTGAGAGGAGAGCACGGAAGGAGAGAGAGCAAAAAATGGGGGAAAAGGAGTCAAGGAAAAAAAGAAATGACCACCGTGGGATTCGAACCCACGAGTACGAATACATGACGACCTGAACGCCACCCGATAGACCACTCCGGCAGATGGTCGTTGTCATGTTGACGGGAAGGGACATGAAATCGAGATATCTAAAGGAAATATGCATATTAACAATTCAAAGCAGACGTCATGTTTTCTTCTGACAACTTCGGGTGTAGCATTGGGTGTAACACGTTGTGACACATACGGATGGTTACGCGCGTGCCTCGTTTGTGATACCATCAGTTGCTTTGCACGGTATGGCGTACCCAAAGCATTGTTGTTCGTGCAAATAGACCAAACCATGGTGATGGTGGACTACACCGCGCCTTGGCGCCGCGGTGACATTTTTCGTTTCTTCACATTTCAATTTTTGGCAGAGGGGACAGAAGGCGTACAAAATGTTAGTCTGCACTTGGTTGTGCATACGTACGTGCGGCTTCCCGGTGGAGATGTTCTGTGAAACCCCATCAAATACCCTTCTTTAAATCATTTTCATTTCTTTTTTTTCGGATTTTTGGCGTTTTCCACTCGCTGCGTGTAGTATGCAGTCGAACCCCTCAACAGAGCAAAGAATGATCACACGTCACCACCGACAGCGTAGACCACACGAGCCGCGTTGACCTCCTCGTCTCTTTGGGGGCTGTTCGCCTCCAAACAAACGTGATATCAAGGTTCGTGGTCAACAGACATCGCCAATCTTTCCAGGTCAACAGCAGTACCTGAGTTTTACTTGCGCCAAAGCGCCCAAGAGCCACGAAGGCAAGTAGCAGTCAATGGCCTGTAATTTTTTCGGTCGAGCCGCGACGAGGCGCTAAATGTACGTTTCACGTCGCGTCAAGCAGGGTGCAGACGGACAAACACAGAGCCCCGGAGCTGAGGAACACCATTTCTTGTCGCATTTGTCATCGCTAGCAGCGAGGTTGTTCCTCAGACCAGGCAAGTATTTCTTGGGCGTTCGAGACGACCTCTACAATGTGGTCCCAAGGAATACTCGAAGATACGGCGTACCTACAATTCCTGGCAAGCAGTAGCGCTTGCCTCAGCCACACTGCTCAACTACCATTCACCCAAAAATGCGTAGGCATGTAAAATAACAGCCCGGGGGTAGCCCTGACACTAACGCGCGTGTATTCTTGGCAATATTTACGCGCCATCTTGCTACATCAAAAGCATCTGCTAAATAAATAGCAAGTCATTCATTCAATATTTCGCACGAGGTCACGGTGCCATTCTGGGCTCTTGCATTGTCCCAATCTCCTTGCTCTCGTATTTTCTTTGGTACGTAGATACGTCAGAGCATGGCGAGGAGCATCAAAATGAGGACATGGGAGCGTGTGCTTACCAAAGCCGCAGGTACAATATTCAACTTGCACAACTTGAAAAACCTAACCGCTAACCGTTGCTGGAATACACGTTCTCCAACATCACAACAATTCCTCGCGGACCACCCTGTCTTGTCCCAGAGCCATGGCTCAACTTCAGCCATTCACTGCCAACCCCGTACAAGACCCCGTCCTGCCTCCCCGACACCGCTTCAACTATTACTCGCCCTCGCCAACCGCAACAACAACGGGGACCTGATATCTACCCCATCCTTGGGCACCGCCCGTTTACTCTGCTGCTGCTGCCCCTTGGCCCCCTTCTTCTGATTCCCGGCAGCCACGGCACCCCCCGCAGCAGCAGGCGCATCCAGCAGGCTGGCCTTCCCCATGGCAACCGCCCGCCCCTCCGGGAGCGGAACCCCGGCAAAAACCGCACCCAGGTTCCCCTGACCCGCCCCGGCCTCTCGCGCTTCCCTGCCGCGTTCGTATAGCGCTGCCAGCCCGGAAGCGGCGTCCTGAGACCCGAGCGCTACGATATCGGCCGCCACCGCCGCAATCGCCGGCTCGCAGCTGTTCCGCAGCAGAGACAGTTCCCAGGCCGCGGACGAGAGCGCGTTGGCGTGCTCGGGGTTCGTGAGGTCCGGTCGGAACGGGCCCGAGCCAGGCCTGTCCTGCTCGTTCTCCAGGAGCTGCTGCGCTGCCGGGTACCGGAGGAGGAGGCGGTGCGCGCCGCGGAGAAGGCCGCCGGCGCCTAGGCCCCATGCCGGGTTGGCAGACTGCGGGACGGCGGGGTTGCGGTTTTGCGTCAGCTGTGAGGGGGAGAGAGAGATCGAGGGCACATCTCTGCACTGCTCAGTCGGAGGTGGTGATGGGCCATCGAGGAGAGAAACGGGAGAGCGGCGAGCACGGTTGTCCCGTGTGAATGCTAAGTTCTGTGTTACAACATCGTACTTCGTAAGGGCACGATACTTCAGAACAGTGTCAGATGTACATGTTAACAATGGATACAGATTGAAACCAAGGCCTCCAAGACCATTATCGCAACAATTGAACCCAAGGGCTTGAACAGAGCAGTTGTCCTGGAGTCCTTCGTTTCAATTTGATGCCCAACAAAGAATGCACACAGATGCCCCCAGTACCATAGCTCGTAACATATCATCGTAACAGATCCCATGCTCCACTCCGTCGCGCTATTAACACCGCTGTGGAAACATCTCTCTCTCTCGTTCACCTGAGTCAACTGCAGCGAGATCGACAGCAAGCGCTTGATCATCGCGGCGACGCGGGCAGTCGACAGCTCCCGCCTCTTCCCCAATGCCGCGTCCAGGCAGTCATAGACCAGCGCCACGCAGAGCACCGTCTTCCTCCCGCTAGCGTCCCCGTTCTCCGGCCGCAAGAGGTCGGGCAAGCGCCGGTATAACGCGCTCACGAAGGCGGCCTCGTCCGTCTGAAGCTCGCGACCGGGGCCTTGGAGGGCTCGGAACGCGGCGAGGACGCAGTGAAGGGCGGCCTCGAGGGGCAGTTCCTCCTCGCCTTCCTCCTGGATGTTGGGAACGTGAGACGAATGTGCACGGGGAAACAACAGTAAATCAGACCACTGATGAATCGCACACTAACAAACGCGCCGAGTGCAATGCTTGCCGCCGCGCCTCTGATCCAATGCCCCGTTCGCCTTGGGGCAACGAACGCCATTGCGACGCAGCCAGACGACGCTCTGCCGTCTGTGGCGCCTCGCTCACCTCTGTGAGAAGGTCTTTGAGGAGATCCAGTAGATCTTGCACAGTGTCCAAGTTCACCAGGTGGACGAACTTGGCAAGGCCCTCCATCACAGCCGGGAAGAGGGCCGGTGGTGGCGGCCGGCGCTTCAGGACACGGAAATAGGTCAGCATGACCTGCAGCGGTGAAAAACGAGTGACAGCGGTTAGTTTCCCCACCCAGCCCATTTCATTAGGTGTTGGTCGTGCAAATTAAGAGAAACGACGAGTGAAGTTTTTTCGCGTGAAAAATCATGGCATGCATCACCGAGAACTTACTCTGCGTGACCTCGGCATGCTCCATACTCGGAGAGACAAGGCTCATGGTAGGAAGACACTGCGACCGTAGGTTGCCACATTGGATGACACAAAAGAAAAAAACTATGCAGTATCTACATCCAATAAGATCTCGAGCTTTACGCTTTTCGCGGTCCAACTAAGTGCAGTGCGTGATTTTAACACCCACTCGAATTTGCATGAGCACGAGCACACTCATGTACTACCGCATGTACAAAATCCTTCAGTGTTGTCCTACCTCGTGCAGAGCGTCAGCCTGGCACTTGGCGCGGACATCGTCGTCCACGCTAGCGTCGGCCTCCATTAGGCCGGCCTCCACGCTCCCCTCCCTGCGCCGCTTCCTGTTCTTGCTTTTGACGCGAGCCTTCGCCCGCGCCCGCTCGTCCTCCCGAACGCGCAAGGGCAGCGCCGAGAGGCACTTCAACGTGCCCTCTGACACATGGTACCTGGCGGTAGGAACAAGTTTTCGCATACCGAAGCATCGGGGGATGGAGAGAGGGTGGGATGGGTACCAAAGGGATGAGTTAGGACAAGACACGGTATAGTTGCCGAACATCATGGTGATGGATATGCGGAAGGTTGAACAGCACCGGCAGTGACAAGCGGGCCGCAACCCCCCATCACGCGTCATCTTCTCGGGGCCAAACTTCCCGTGAATACCACGCGCTGCAGTTGCTCAACCGGAAGACATTCTCTTTCTCGCTGAAAATTGACGAGCCGTTGAATGTTCATGTACAATTAGCCGGCACGGAAGGCTATCGAGCTCACTTCCGCTCCTTGATGAACTTCGCGACGGCCTTGGCTATCTCCAAGGACACCTCCCCCTGCGTGTCTTGCTCGAAAACGCCCCCGAGGCACTTGCAGCAGGCCTCGCGAACCTCCGCCAGCTTGTGATTCGTGCCCGCCACCACCGTCCGCACAAGGTTGGACCTGAAGTTGAAGTGCGGGTGGGCCGAGAGGAGGCCACACATGCACCGGATCGCCGCTGAAGCCAGAGCGCGCGCGGCGGAGGTGGAGGCGCCCCCGCCCTTTGGCGACACGGCCGCTTGCACCGCTGCCTCGAGAGCCTTGAGGTATCCCTGAATATATAGGGGTCAAGCATGGGTGTTTGCCAGCGGTTCGGCGAGGTGCGGTGTCAGGATTCGAATCAAAGACATGTGTGGTGGGCTCTCGAGACGGGCATGCTGGCTAGTCGTCAAGAAATTCTTGCGACACACTTGGGGCGCTTGGTGGACACCAAGGACGCTCGGTCGATCTAGGTGTATTTCATGAAGCACACCAAAAACAACCACACCAAACACCATATCAAAATATACCTGGTACGCCCGGAGCAGGGCTGCTTCCTGCGCCCTCACGCGGTGCACCTCCTTGGAGACCTTTGTCGCCATTTCGGCCGCGGTCGGGACGCGGATTCTGTATCCCGGGATGATGTCCTTGAACACCGCGTACTGAGACAACAGTGCCAGGTGGCAGACGCGATGGTCGTCGTCCTCCACCTGGCCGGAAATAATACCCAGAGTTTGGCGACAAACAGGAACTGTCAGCATCGTTTTGAGGATAAGTGTTGCTCGCATGAAAGAAGATCGACGGGACTGTTCTTCGCAGCGGTCAAAAATAACACGGTGGCGGTTTCATGTAGGGAGCTCCGAACAACGATGAAGGCCTCGGCAGAGGAGCGAGCAAACAAGGGGACGGCTGCGTCGGAAGCGCGTCGGTAATGCCACTTCTAGTTAGGTATACGGTGCCAAGAAAGTGTCAGCTATCTTACCCTTGCTGCAGGTATTGCTGTTCGCGACCATGGTTCCCTATGCATAAGCACCTTCGGCTTGTCCCAGAAAGTCGCCATGCCTCACATCCTGAAAGCTTGACATACGCTACTCCTCAACTTGTTTAACCAAACACAGCTCATTCAAAGCAATGGTGGAGGCAATGACCAACACTCACAAGTGCAAAGAGCTGCTCTATCCTGGAACGCTCGTCCTCGCCCTTGACGACGGTCTTGGGACGCACGAGCGACTCCTCTGGCGCCCCCAGAATGCTCTCGCAAAGCTCGCCCATCAACGCTTTCTTCTGCTCAAACCGCCTCTGTCTGAGCACGGCTAGGTCCACCTTACTTCCAGTGGTCACTCTAGCAACGCTCCTCTCGCCAGCACTACTACCGTCATTGAACTCGGCCATGGGGTAGTCCTCCAACTCGGAGTTGTCCCCGGAATCGTACACGGAGTCATCGCTGTCGGACATGGCGTCGCCGCTGCCGGTGATGTCTTGCTTCCCGTTGCTGGTCTCCTCCGCCCCTCCCGCCGCCGCTGAATTGTTTTCATCTCCTCCGTCCTTGCTGTTACCAGCAGCCACCGCCTTCCGAGCTTCCTTGCTTTGCTTGTCTTGGGTGCTAGCCTCGGACTGCTTCATTCGCTCGTTCGGTTTGAGCAGTCCTCGCCGCGTCTTGATCGGGAGCCGCTCCGGTCCACTGTCCTCTACCGTCCACCCCGTTGTGGACGCTTTCCGACGCTTGGCGTCGACCACGGCCTCTTTCTTTCCTGGCTTTGAAGGCGTCGGCGGTGTTTTGATTGCTTCTGCTGCAGGCGTTGCGTCGTCGACTACGGCAGTAGCGGAGGCGTTGCCGGGTGCTTCAGTCGCTGCCGCGGGCGCTTCAGACTTGCGTTGTTTCGACTTTTTCTTGGAGGTCGGCGGCACCGCCACGCCGTCCTTGACGCTCTTGCTGAACGTGGTCAGCCCGGAAGGGTCCAGTGAGAGCATGAAGTTGGCGTAGTCGGCGTTGTCCTCGTCGTCGAAGAAGGCGTGGTCATCCTCGCCGGCAGGCTCTGGCTCGTGCACGATCTTGTCGGCCTCTGGTTGTTGAACAGCCCCACCACCGTCGCCCTTGGTTTTGCCTGCGGCGGCAGCAGCCTTCCGGGACTTCTTTTTCCCGTCATGGTTCTTCTTGCTGGCCTTGATCTTCTCGCCCTTGGCTTTCGCCTGAGCCTTTACCTTGAATGGGGCATTCATGGCGCTAAGAGATAAGAGAGGCCAGACTGCGCAGAGCTCGCTTCGTGGCCGTCAAACTACTCTAGGGGGAGTTGTACAAATCCTGTCGGCTTTGCTTCACACAGGGGCCAGTACCAACAGTTTCCATATTTTGGTTTGTTCAGCCGCCACGCCACAGCAAGGCGCGCTCGCGCTCGCGTGTGTGAGTATTGAGCAGTGAGAGGGAGAGTCGAGAGTGGTAAACCCTCTGGACGTCTAACAACCCCGTCGCGCTGCAGTGACATGATTGCGGCATGAACCAGTACGCGGAAATAGTTGAAACAGAGTGAACCCAGCAACATTCTGAGTGCAGAGAAATGGCCGCGTTGGATTCGCCTTTGATCTCTGTGCGGGTCGTGAACGTGGACTGGTACCTCTCCGAGGAGAGCAAGCTGCCCGTGGTGCGCATTTTCGGGTCTACGCCTGCAGGGCAAAGGTCATGCCTTCATCTTCACGGGGTGAGCTCATAGCGCCCAAGATTGAAAAGTTGCCGGCTGTCGGCATCGTAGCTTTTCGAATGCCCACATCGTGAACGAATTCGCACAACAAAAGTTGCACCGCATCCAGGCAGGGTATCTACACAGCAGTACACAGCAGTACCAGCTTCATTGAAGAACACCCGTGGTCTCGAGCATTGAGCTATCATATGTTGCTTATGCATGTGTGCAAACATCCCGCCAAGGAACATTTGTCTGACTTGCAAAAGGTGTCGGCGGCAGATCTAATGTGTTTCTTGTTGAACCCGCCGGTACGCTATCATGAATGTAAATGTCTCCTGTACTCGGAGCAAAATACTCCTGGGTGCCTACAGCAGTAGAACATACACGGCATGCTCGGGTGGGGTCTCATCGTCTCATGTTATTGCCGCCAGCTCACTTGCTGATCTGCCAAAGCATTGCTTGCAATTTTTGTTTGCATTGAAACCAACGACGCCACCTTTCAACACGAGAAATGTCGCCGCCGACCTTTGAACCCTGGTCCTCCTGCAAAACGGCCAACTGACAGGCATTGCCCTATTTCATGGTGAGGCCAATGGAGGAAGAAAGCTCCGCTATTTGCGCTCAGTTTGAAGACCCCGGCAGTTTGAACGCCCTACTTCCCCAGCTGGAACAAGCGCTGGAATCGGCCATGGCGTCTTCGTCCGGTGGGCCTGGCGCCCCCTCACTATCTCCTGCGGGGGGGGCGGGACGGGGCGGGCGACCGTGGGGGCGGAATCGACAACCGGTGCTTGCGCGGCTAGAGGTCGTCCGAGGCGTGCCTTTCTACGGCTATCATGGCGAGGAGAAATTGTTCGTGAAGGTGCGAGCGTCCGTCGCGTGGTATAGTTTTGAGCACGAGTTTCTATCACTGCGGCCCTTCGTGTGTGTATCCGGGTATGTTGTTTCTTTCTTGCGGTGGATGGACTGACGACAATCTGATTAACTGCAGGATGACAAGGAAATCGTGTGTAGGGCTGAGTTGATGCCCTGCAACATACACATGTGAAGCAGGGAGTGCCGTACGCACCGGGTGCCTGAAATTTGGGGAACGATAAGATAATATCGCCGGCACACTTGGATATATTGTTAAACCTCTGTAGGGTGTACACATTGGTTTCCTACAACATGCGGAATGTCAAAGTTTGCAACGTGATATTTTTGAGAGACTGCGGGATCGTGCGCCCTTCCCGCGGGGCCTAATTGCATTGGTTCCCCTTCCTGCCGGCCTCGTGTCGAGGAGCATGCCTTCCTGAAAAGTGCGGTTGACTTCCTTCGGCCCTCAAGGTGTACGTGAACAACCCGGCACTGACCGGCAAGGTGGCCTCCGTTCTGCAGGCTGGACACGTGCTATCCACGCGCTTTCAACCGTTCGAGTCTCATGTGCCCTTCTTGCTTCAGGTGTGTCATTGGGCCGGCGGCCTATCGTCTGCATTTGGAATATTTTGATTTGCAGGACACGGCAAGGAAACAGGGTCGAAGGTCCGCCGAGTGTTGTCGCGTACATTCTGAATTTTTTGCGTGCCGTACGCCTGAGTTCTTGGGCCTCTGTGATGTGTTCGAGATTATACCACGAAACAGGTTGCAGAGAGTTTCCCCAAATGTACGTTTGGCGAGGCTGACCTATAGTTTGATGCCCGTGCTTGCGGAACCTGGCTCTGGAACAGGTGTTCATCGACTACAACATCTCCGGCATGAGCTACGTGCATCTTCGAAACGCTCTCTTTCTGCAGCCGTTGCCCGAGCTCTCGAGCGTAACGTCGTCGTCTCAGGAGCCTTCTCCGAACAGCATCGGCTTAAACGACAACGACGAGTCGCCATTAACCGGGATATTCACTTCGGCTACAGTACCGGAAAGTCTTGTGGCGAACCCCGTGGGCCAGGGCGATGCGTGGCGTTCTCCCGCTGGTGTGCCCGGTTGTGAGTGGGCAGGAGGTAAAACAGCTGATGGTGCCGCAAGGACAGCGACAGCACGAGGGCTTGAGCCTGTAACCCTGCGAGGCGACACTGATGAGGTACGTTCTGTGTACGAGGAGCCCTGTTTCGTGTGGAGCACGCGTGTTGTGCGTTCGCCGCCTTTCTCGCAGCAAGACTGTCATCTCTGGTAGCTTGTACTTGTTGTCGTGTGCAGCTCATTTCCTTGCCGAGTCCGGTTTAGGTCCGCGTTGTTCATCCACGTATTTTCCTGGCGTTCCTACTCTCCGAAATGTTGGTCCACTCTTGAAATCTAAGGCTGCTCAAGACCTGTTGGCGGGGATCAGCATGTCGCAGCTGTTTTCTCAGCCGTCTATCGCACCGAAGGTAGCACCCTCCCGCCCGCCCAAAGAAGGGCCCGCGCCTAGAGCGACTGCTACGTCTTCGCCCGGCAAGACACGTGCTGGCCAAGGAGGTGCCACTGGGGACCGTCCCAGGCCCAAGTGGTGGGAACGCCAAACCACAACGGAGCTAGAAGTCGTGGGAATCATCGACGACGTGATTAACCCAAGCCTCCTGGCTGCTGGGAGGGCGGAGGCCGCAGACGGGAAGCCAATGGCCGTGGCAAGCCTGCGCGAGCTGTGGGACGAAGAGAAGGAGCGCTCGCGGGTGGCAGGCGGGGGGTCGCAGCTCTCGGCCCCGCCGGGTCTCGAGCTCGCCGACAGTCAGGATGTCTGGGAACCTCCAGATTTGCTGCTGACGCAACACGTGAGGGACGAAGCTGAAGGCCTTGCTCGTAACGTCTTGCGAAGGGCGACACCTGCCCGAGACTCTGGGGTTTTTCCGAAGGAGGAGAGTTCGGAACCTCGTTCTCAAGCGTCCGCCAGCGGGAACGATTTAGACGAGCGATCAGGCGAAGTCGAGCTGACGCCTTCGCGAGACGGTTTATTGTCCCAGGCTTCAGGAACGGATGAAGCAAACACAACTGCACCGGTCGCGGATGTGTCCTGCTCTCCGGCTAACTACTTGCCCTCGCTGGGCGGTATATGCGATCATGATGTGGACCAAGGGCTGCTCGATATGATTGCCGCGTTGAGAGGGTCTCAGCAAAGCCAGAGCCAGGGAGTCGATCGCGAGTCGCTTTCGTCGCCACCGGCAGGGCAGCAGTACACCCGGTCGCCGTCAGGTCCCCTGTCACAAAGGCCCGCTTTCACCCCTGAATCTTCCGCAGATCAAGCAGAGGCGGTGGCAGCAACGCAGGTGTGAACGCCACACAGCCGGAAGTTCTCGCCGCACTTTTTTTCTTTCCTCTTCATTGGAAATAGGAAGCGCTTGGTCTTGTAGTAGCTAAGCCGAAAATTTTTCCATCTTGTGCATGAAGGTTAGGTTCGGACTCAAGCGCTCATTATCTGCAATGATCATGCACCTTTGTATCTTGCATATGGTCGAATTTCGATGTGCCGAAACGCCACGGCCCGCTTTGGAAACCCGTTCTATTTTCCCAGAAAAAACAGGAGCTGGATGAACAAGAACTAGGCAGCCGGATAGCGTTGGCGGCACAGTCCGAGCGACACTACGACTCGGACGGGTCAGACGACTACCTGGAACCCGCGCGGGCCGCGGCTGTCAATGTGTCCATCTCCTCGGCCACCGGCAACCCAAGCGCGGCCATCCCTGTGCCCGGCGCTGCTGGTATGCAAACACCGGTTTTGGCAGACCCTCCCCCCTGGTCGTCGTCCCAACGGGCCGCCAGCTACCCGCCATGGTCTCAGCACCGCGCGGGGCCGGAGCCGGTCAGAGCGTCAACGTTGCCATTCTGGTCGCAGAGGAGCACCGAGGTGGCTAGCGCCGGCATCTCGGGAAGGCTGGCTGGCAGAGATAGGCACGGCGGTGGTAAGATGGACGGGAACCACCTCGAGCAAGGAGAGGAGGAAATGGACGAGGAGGATGAAAGAGCGGAGGATGGAGTTGAGAGAATGCTATCTCAACTATCTGCTAGGTGAGGCCCCAACAGGGCGACGCAATACGTCGACCAAGGTATCTAGCAATGTCGGATGGTCCGCGAATTCTCAACCTTGTCTACCGTCAAGGGATGCTTCATTGATGATGGTCTTGCCCCCGCCGCCGCTTATCTCTGAACGCTTCGTAGGAGCCTGGACGACGTTAAAGACAGCGTGCAGGCAGAGATCGATCGAGAAAGGAGAGCACCAATCGACCCAAGAATGTCGCCTTACGACCCCCTCTTGACATCACGAGCGCAAGGCACTGAGCCCAGGTGAGAACGGCGGCAAGCTGAACGCGCCACAATCCCTGCACTGCCTTAATCCAAGCCAGTCCTGATGGCTAACGTTGCTGTTGCTATGGGCGATGTAGATAAAAACGGGGTGTCCATGTTTCTGTGTCGGTTTGATAGCAGTTGCAAGCAATGTGCGATGTACGTACGTCGGTCGCTTGATGCTAGCTGGATATTTGCTGGTGGTGAACGTGTATTCCCAGCGTCGGCTTCTCTGAAAACAGCGCTCATCCACGGCCAAATAATTTTTGGTCGTCGTCCTGTGTAATGTCCCCCTCATCGCCGGCCGGATGGTCGGAACGAAACCGCACGATGATTTCATCTGCAGATCCCAAAGCGAGCTGGTAGACATCATATGTTCCCAGGTGGAGGTCGAGCAAGACCAGAATGCACAGAGTTCGACAGTTTTGGCAGATCACTCGATGGACGCCATCATGGAGGAGGAGGAAGAGGAGGAGGACGAGGAGGATGGTGGGGGGGGGTGCGCGATGAGGACTGAGCCTCCACGAAATAGAGGCGACGTTGACCACAGGTGGACGCGAGGGCCAACCCAGCTCCGGTACGACGACGAAGTAGAGGGAAACCAGGAGGGTACAGAGAGAGGGCGGGTGGACATGGAGGAGGAGGAGGAGGAGGAGGGGGAGGAGGAGGAGGACGGTGTGAGGGACTCGGACACGAAAGGCCCCCTCAGGCTGCGTGGTGGCGTCGGACTGCCCCGCACCAAGCCCAAACCTGCCCGGCCCTCGCGAGCAGCAACGGCACCGGAACCATCGAGCAGTTCTGCCTCGCTCCCGGGCGCCAGCAGCAGTAGTCCGCGGAATGACCCGGACATGCGGAGTGACGATCCGCCAGCCGGCAGCAAGCGACCAGCACCAGCATCTGGTGCCCTCCCTAAGCGACGAGCACCGCTCCGGGTACCTGTTGGCATTCGACGCTCGTCTTCGATGCCGGGAGTTGTTGGTGGCTTCAAGCCCCCGAGGCTGCTCTCCACGGCGGCGGCCAACCTTCCTACAGTTGATGAGGCTGGCAATGCTAGTCGTTATGGCGGAGGCGGCGGTGGCTCTTGTGGTATTAGTGGTGATGATAGTATGTGTGGTGGTGATAACGGCGATAAATCTCCTGGTTTTGTTCACCGCGAGCCGCGGAAAGATAACCCTGCCGCCGCTGGAGGAACTGACTCTGCTGATGGGGACGGAAGCTCCGACACTCAGGAAGAGGATTCGAACAAGGACGAACGATCGCAGGTGGTGGTGCCTGGGTGGGGATCGCAGGGCCATCATCCAGTCGAGTACTCAGAAAATCAACTGAGCTTCGTTCCCATTGCCCAGCTCCGAGTATCCCCAAAATCGACCCGGGGAATGGGCGCGAGAACGGACAATGATGTATCGGACACCGAAAGAGTTGAAGCGGCAAGAAAGAAACAGAAGGTTCTCGGAAAGGAAGGGTACAACCGCGGTGATGGGACGGAAAGCGCCGCCGCCAGAGTTTCAGAGGCGCCGGCTGAAAAGCACGGCGGAGGTGATATTGGCGTGGAGCCCGACTCAGCAAAGGGCAAACCCCGTAGCGCCAGCCCGCCACCGCCACCGGAAAACCCCACCCGAAAGGAAAAACCTCCGCTCTATGTTGGCACCAGCGGCGAAGCCACGCCAACCCCAGCGTTGGGTCCTCCGAGATCTGAAGCTACTGGCGGGCAACCTGGTCAGAACACCGACAATGCGCGAGCTTCTCCGGACGGAAGTAGCGGTGCGGGGGACAGCGGCGTGGACGGTAGGTGGCGAGGCGCCGACGCACGGTTACGCCTCGCGCAGACGCGAGGGACCCCGTCGCCTTCTTCGCATCAGGCGCGAACGGACAACAGCAATGGTGGAAGAAGAGGCAGAAACGAGAATGCGGCCGCTAGAGGGTCGGAATTCTCGCCTTGTTCACCCCTGGCGCCGTTGGCATTGCACCAAGAACCGGGGACGTCTTCGGAGAATGATGCTGATCAGCCCCATGTTGGCACGAACCACGCAAGGGGGTCAGCGAGGAGCTCGACGCCGCGGGAGGGTCGTACTCCGACGCAGGACCCACCGGGAACCCCTTTGCGTCGACAGGGACTGGCCAACAGACACATAGCAGCCGACAGCGTACTCAGAGCTCCGGAAATGGCACCACGGTGCGACAACCCTACCGGGCTTTCTTGCACTCCGGCTGCGGCCGTCGCTTCTGTGTTTCCGACCCCGACACCTCCACCACCACCGCTCGCTATGTACACGGCAGGCCGTTCGCCCACCACCCCGCTGTCGGCCCCAAGCGACAGTTCCGACGTCCCTCCGCTCGGCCAACCTAGCCCCGGATTGCCGATCACGGCAGCGAGGGGGGCTGATGCTGCTGCGTCCGATACGCCTTTGTCGGATGCGTGGAGCAGCGGAGTACAGCGGACCGGTTGCAACAACAGCGGGACGGAGGAAAGCCCGGCCCCGAATCCAGGAGAAGCTTTCTTTCTAACATCTGGGAGCGGGTCGGCCGCGTCGCCGGCCAGGGAGAGGTTCCCGGGTTTTACTCCCCCAACGCCAAGGCAGCGCGGGGTCGGGGGACGGGAATCGGGAACGGTGGTGCTCAGACCCCCCGAGACGGCGCCGGACCCGAAGACGTGTGCAGCCGCGCTGTCGCGCCTTGGTGTTCCTCAGGTGTGCGGTGTACCCGACACAGAGATGTGTGTGCGCGTGTGAAACGTTGTCGGCACCTTGTGGCGCGCGCCTAGGAAACACGTAAAATGCAATGGTGGTAAGCCCTTGAGGTAGGTCTGCTCGTCCCTCACCCAACACCGTGATCAATTGAATCTCAAAGCTAGAAATTTCCTCATCGCCATTTCCTGCACGTGGCGGCCTGTCTTGTCTGCTCAGGTGTTGCATACCGAGCCTTACTACAGCCGCAAGGACGACGTCCCGGAGCGTCCGCGGGAGTTTGCTGGAAACGTGTTTCGGATTCAGCACAAGGACAACCTCAAGGTCAGCCGATCGGGGCAGTTCCAGGCGACGATTTACCTATAAGCGGAGCGAAGGACGCGGGGTTGTGTTGTGTTCGAAGCTAGTTTGGAGGGAAATCGTGGATCCATGTTTTGCATTCAAGCACTGGAGGTAGACCTGGGAATCAGGTGGTTGGCGAGACGCCAAGTTAGTACAGAGTAGCATCTCGTTGAGGCGTCACCCTTTTTTCTCACGACGACGACCAGCGTCGGTCGCCGATGCAAAGGTGTCAGCCTATCTGACCTACCCCCCGCCGCCGCCGCCGCCTGTGCTTGCGCCCTCTACTGTTGCGTTCGTCGGTGCCGTGCTCGGTAAACTTCAGGCGTTCGATACCCTCCAATCACGCGAGATCCTCCACGCGCACCAACAGGCGGAGGCGGCGACCGCCACGCCAACCTCTCCAAGACATCGCCACGCTGGGCGCAGCGTTGCGTCTTCGTGTTCCTCCTACACGCCCCGCTCTCACCTTCCCGATAGCGAGCCCGGAAACCGAGCCGTGGGTGGTGGGAGCGATCTCGGCGCCGACGGCGGACTTGCTATGTCGCCGTCCCCCGATCATCGGGTGACAGGGACGGGTGGGTTCTCGGGGGAGAGTTACGAGGGCGGCGGTGGTGGTAGTTCGGGAGCCCTTTCGTTGGCGGGCGGTGACGCCGGGCAACAAGAGCCCATCGCCTTGCGGTGAGTTTCGTTCCCCCACATTTTCGTTTTTCCCGAACGAGGTTTTGCTTGAGCGGCTTACCGCCCTTGCGGTGTGGTGTCCCCCATAGGTCTCAGGGCCTGATCCAGCCAAGAGTCCATAGAGGCACCTTGTGCCCTGAGAATGAGTGGGTGCACCGCGCTGGTATTATCCCTTTCCAACCTTTGAACTCGCGAATTGTACCCTTGGCTTTTTAAGTCTTTGCTTCCCGGGGTTGTGGGTTCCGATACACCCACCTCTTGTCTGCCGATTCACTCGATGATTGATGCATGCAGCGGCATCGACGAATGGAAGGAGGCAGCGGCGATGTTCGGAGGGCCGGCCAGGAGAAAAAGCCGCCACGTTAGCCAAGGCCCGGGCAGAACGGTGGAGCTCGTCCCATCTATCTCGCCACCGCCTTACAAGGTGGGTATCAGGGGGATACACGAGGGGGGTCGGGATTGAGTTGGATGGTGTGGCGGCGGAAGCGACAGCTGTGTTTAGCAGAGGTCATCTCGACATGGTCAATGTTTTATGCTACAGAGTAACAGAGTTTTTGAATCTGGGGTGTTGGTATCCTATGCAATCTGGATACCTTCTCGGCGCCTGGTATGACAGTAGTGTACGCAGGAGCTTTTCTTCCAGAGTTGTCCACTGTCCGTCCACCCTACCACTCCTCTCGCAATCACGAGATTTGTCATCTCTTGGAGTCAGGCAATCCAGCGAAAGAAGGCCCTAGCGGTGGTGGCTGCGTGTGGTATTGTAGCGGATTCCTTTTTGCTCGTGTCCAACCTTCTGGTGCTTATGTCACCAGCAGATACTGCACCAAGAGCGCACGCTCTTGTCCCGCTAACCACCTCCCTGCCTCCCCTTCCGTAACCCCTTTTCGGTGGCGGCCAGGCTGTTGCGGCTTGGGGTCGGGCGAACCCGAGCTCGACCCGCAGCGCTCGCGTGGTGGACGACTTGGACAAGCCGGTATTGAGGTCCACGAGAAACGCCCTCGGCGTGCTCGCCGGAGGGGGCGAGGCTGATCTAGCCGGCGATGACGGCTCTGGAGACGTGAGGCGCGGGTTTTCCCGCTCGTGTTGTTTTTCTCGTCCCGGTTTCTTCTTTTTTTTTGGTGTTGGCCGTGCTCCGCAGTTTGTTTATCGCGTTTGTAATACACGCCCTTGTTGGTTGCTTGTGCGCCTTGGAGTCACGTGCATGATGAAGCGATGTGGCGTGAAGGATCGCTTGCAGAAAACTCTTGAGGGCATGTATACTTTGGCAGCGTAAGTGGTGCCGCCGCCGTTCGTCCCAAGTAAACGCGGCAGAGAGCTCCCCAATACTACGCACGTGGAAGCTTCGCACGACGAAAAGCGTTGCAAGCACCCAACGGATAGTCCGCAACATTATTTCGAAAACGCGCGGTAGCTGCTACGGAGCCACGATTTGGCGAGCACTTTCGTTTTAATCCCCGGAAAGGACATGTACTGCTGCGCTGTGATGCAGCATCAACGCTCTATAGAGACAGCTCCGCAAGTCGGGGGTGGGAAGGGGCAACAATGGTTCGGTGTCAAAGCTATTTTCTTGCACGTGTTCGTACGTGAGGGCTAGATGGGCGGCGGCGATGGGGAACGTAGTGCGCGGCAAAGGAGCTGCTGCAAAAGTGTCCGGCAGTGCGAGAAAATGCGAGCAACCACGATCGGGCAAAAACGTTTGTTTACTAGTTGGTGGCCTCTTCCTTGCCATCGACGTCCTTAACGACCTTCTTGGCCTGCCCCCTCCCAAAAACTGCAGATGTCTATGGTTGCGGACCCCAATACGGGACAGCTCGTACCCGTACCCGTACCCGCCGCGCGCCCGCCGCCGCCGCCGCCGCCGACGACGCGTGCCGCGGCCGCACTCCGGCCGCCACCCGGCCCAGGAGATGTAGGAAGCGGTGACGCGCGACGACTGAAGTCCCTTGTCTCCTCGACCCCAGAAGCTCTGCGAACTCCTGAAAGGTGGGGATTGGAGATAACTTTAGTGCATCTTTTGATCTCGGTTGGGATTGGCACTTGGACTCACAGGGGGTCACCCTGTAGCTGGAGATCGCTCGGTTATTGCGGGTCGATGGTGGGAGTTCCCTTTACGGGGGAGGGGGACGGGGGCGAGGTTTGCGGTATGGGTTTGGCTCGATCCAAGGTAGAAAACTATACCGTGATGGTAGAACGTTAGAACGGCCTATTTTACAGGTTTTGCGTTTGGTGGACAATGCTTCGTAGTATATCACCCTCAGGTGGATATCGACTCAGGCGACCGTGTTCATTCGCGAAAATCCTGCTAAATGTTTTCGCCTTCGTTGTACCTTGCCAGGCTGTTGAAGGCGAAGTGAGTTTTCTCTGATCCCACGTCATCAAACATTTTTTTACCCCCTTCCCGTTCTCTGCAAGTTGTACAGCACGAAACACAGTGACACGTTTCACACGAAGCAACGCGTATCAGCATATTTATTGTCCTACCAAGGCATGACCATGTGTTGTCGTCTTACACCCCCATTCCTCCTTGACGGAAGCAGCGTGCCATCCGGGGATGCGGTCGAGCCACGCCAGAGCGACCATATCACCCCGGAATGTCGAGTCCGGCCCGCCAAGGTGTGAAGCGTACCAAAGGGAACGATGCTTTTCCCCACCATTAAGCCTACAAGCTGTTCAGTACATAGATGCCTTATTTTGGAGAACTACAGAGACCACGGTTGGAAATGGTATCTCTGCGTGTGTTCAGAACGATGTGAGTACATTTTTTGCGAGACTTTCGGTAGATCTCGTTCGTTTTCGTCACTGCATGTTACTTCGAGTCGCGGCCCGAGAATTTTCTCGGGGACAAAAGCAACTCCATGTACACAAGCAGAGATACCGGACTACACGCGAAACACGGATCGTAACATTCAGTCGAACGCTGAATCTACCGACACTTTCTCGTAAGCTTGTTCCTCCCTTGCTTAAGCCCCCCTAGACCGCGTCCAAGCAGCGCCGGCACGAGATTTACCATACACACACCGTTCACGTAGCCCTTCCCTCTCCCCGGCTTCCCCCTCTTCCTTTCCTACCACAATCCCCAGCAATCCACCCAGGGACCCCACCGCCCCACCACCAAGAGCCAGATTTCGCCCGCCACGCTAACACCGTCATCCTGTCTCTCGGAGGAGGAAAAAGGAGGAAGGTTCGCGTTCGGCCTTGGTGCAGCAGCAGCTGCCGCGGGCCGTGGGCCGGCACCCGCCGCCGCCGCCGCCGCCGCCACCACCGCTGAGGCGGCCTCCCCGGCGATCGGGAGCCAGGCGAGCGGCATCGGCCTAAGCGGCGGAATCCTGGGGCGCGGCCGAACCGGCGACGAACCCGCCGCCGCAGGGCGAGGCGATCGTCTGACGGTGCTGTCGCTGGAGCTCCACGTGCAGGTGCCGGCCAGCCGGCGGCCGGACCCTCGCCGGGACTGTGTGCACGCCGTGTGCTGGAGGGTGAAGGACGCGTTCACCTCCGCGGAGCGCGAGGCGGTGGAGACGAGGTCGGGGGTTATCGTGCTCCCCCTCGCGGCGCGCGGAGTGGCGGCGACCTCTGCTGCTGCCGGAAGCGGCGGGGGCGACCGCAACGGAGGAGACTCCGCCGACGGGAGCAGAAAGGAAGAGGCCTGCCTTAAGTGCGGCGAACAGAGAGACGATGTTAACAGGGCGTTCTGCTGCTTCGAAGGCGGAGGGTTTCTGGGGCAAGGGATTGCGAGCGGTGGTGGGACGGAAGTGGAGACGGGAAGGGCCACGCTCCGTCACGGCTTGGGGAGGGACGTAGAGGTGCTGGAGGTTTGCAGCGAGGAGCAGGTGTTTCGAGCTCTGGTCGGCGTCTTCTGTCGGCACGACCCGGACTTCGTGGTGGGGTGGGAGGTTCAGGGTGACTCTCTGGGATACGTAGTCGAGCGGGGTTTGAACATGGTGAGCGAAGTGAAATTGAGTGTCGGCCTCGTCCTTGTGTGCAGCTTCCAAATGTGTGTATGGCCGTCTTTTGTTGCGTGACCTTGCCGTGTGTCGTTTCGAATTGTTTTGGGGAGAGACGAGGGGGGTCCTCAATTCTGGCGTGCTTTATACCAGGGGGCGCCGCCGAGCCAAGCTTCGGAGAGGGCGAGAACGCAGGGGGGGGGGTGGCGGAGGTCGTATGGCTTGTGCTTCGGTAGGGAAAGCCACCTGGCACTCGCGGCACAACAGCTGGCTCTCATCCTTTCTTGCAAGTCGATCACACAATCTCGAGGAAACCAGACCCCCCCCCCCCCCTTTTCCTCCCGCCCTCTCGACCTAGGAACCCTCCATGGACATGACCCGCCTGCTGTCTAGGACTCCCGGGCGAGACGCCGACAAGCGGAACGCCCGCGACGAGTGGGGGAAGACACACGGCTCTGGCATCTGGCTGACCGGCCGCACGGTGCTCAACATGTGGCGCCTCATGCGCTCCGAGCTCAAGCTGTGCTCGTACACGCTTCAGGTGTGAGGACGGAGGGTACACATCCCGGGAGGGGCAAACCACGGCAATATCTTGTCTGGGGTGGTTGTTTTGTGGTTCGTGGGCGATGGTAGCGAGGACGGGGTGGGCGGGAAGGTTTTTGCGCAGGGTTTGGTGCGATCCGACCGATGTGTTCGCTCCATAAAAGTCCCTTGATTGTGTGCGAATGCTTCATTAGCTGCGCCGTTGTTAGCTTTGTCGCCGTCTGCTAATGAAGGTCAATCGATTCGCTGTGGGCTTGCATGTTCTCTGTGGATGGCAGTTCGATTTCTGTTAGTCGACGGAATGTCTGCCAGTCGTGATTGTGAACAGCAGAGTTTCTCCTGACATACTTTTTTTAGGAATGTCTACAAGTTGAAAAGGCCTAGTGATGTCGGCGCAACGTCGCCGACGCCACCAACTCCCACCGCCGACTCAACGTCCTGGCGCTCCCCCCCTCCCCCCCCTCTACTCCTTCCGCTGGCCCCCCTTCTGGCAACCTCCCTCGACGACGAACTCGGTGATAACTCTACGGCTGGATGTGTGGATGTTGATAAGAGCGTTGCAGAACACGTCTTGCGAAAGCGCATCCCGTCTTTCAGCCTCCAGCTTCGGTCTCGCTGGTTTGCCGGGCGGAACGTGGCGGCTAGGTCTCGCGCGCTCGCGGACCCCCTCGGCCGGGCAACGGTGAGGTTGGGCTCTCTCGCACCCGACAGGTGTTCCAGTAAGAATTAGCAAATTACGTGCCCTTATGTTATATCTTCTCCCTTATCACGCTGCTGCTGCTGCTGCTGCTGCTGCTGCTTGTATGTTGATTTTGTTGTCGTTGGTGGCCGCCTTCGGGCTAGTTGTACCCTTGGACATCTGCCCATAGTATGCATACCACTTGCTTTTCTTTCTAAAAAATTTACGCTCTTCTTTTGGAAAGAGCTGAGCATCAACGACAAGTCACGGCGGAGTACACCGGTTGCTCCCAACCACAACACAGGGACGCTGCTGCTGTGTGGGCTTCTCATAAGCAGTCTCGCTCGGCTGCGTTACCCGTGGGGTATGCGAATCTGGTGGTACCGTTTAAATGTGCAACATTCGTTTCGGAAACGTGAACAAATTTCGTCGAAACATGTTCCAAAAGGGCGCAAACACGTTCTCACCCAACCAGCACGTGCGACTCACAACCCTGCTGTCCGTTCATAAGACCACGCAGCCGACAGATGGTGTCCTGCCTCAGTCTGGCATGTGCATCCCCTGCGCAACACACACCCTTTTTTCGCAATCGGTAGACCCCCCCCCCCCCCCCCCGGCGTTCTCGGTACAGACCGCACATAGCGAAAGTAGCTCAAGCGACCCCGTTGGGAGTAGGACTAGAATCCCCCTCCCCCGTCTCGGGCTATGTATGATGCATGCTTTTTCAATAATCTCGAGGCGAAGGAGAACCAGAAAGCCCGTTTCCCCCTACCCGCCTGCTTGGTTTCTTTGTGGTGCTGTCGGCGATGGGACTACAAACCCGACCCCCCCGGCGTCAGGCATGCCTCTCGATCATGGACAAGCTCGACCTGCTGGGACGCACGTCGGAGATGGCGAGGCTGTTCGGGATCGACTTTTTCAGCGTGCTATCCAGGGGGTCTCAGTACCGCGTCGAGGCGGTAATGCTCAGGTAAACAACAGAGCAGGGCACCAGCAGGCGCGTTTTTCTGTTTTTTTTTTTGTGTGATTTTGCTGCAGCTTTGACGATGTTGGGCAGCGTTGTTTTTATTGGAAATCAGATGGAAATCAGCGAGGGCGACCTGTACGTGAGATCGACACTTGAATTTGTAGACACGAGCACGACGCGAGTTGGTGATGCACCTCATCAGAGACGTCACCTGTCGGGTCAAGTTGTCATTGAGTGGCCTACTCACGGCTCGTGAACAATCGCTAATATTTATTGTTTTTTGTAGAACACATTCGGAGAGGCCGGAAACCCCCGTCCGTAGAGAGCTTTGTTTCACCACGATTGAAAGAGCCACGTTGCGGTCAAGGTCCAATCACCCTGCTTTTTACGGTCCAATTCTGATCACTGCATGGCGTTCATGGCGTCGACTGTTGCCGCTACAACACAGTATAACAGGATGCTGGCTGATACCTTCCTCCCATGGATGGTCCCCCCTGACGAAGAAACGTCTGCTTCCATTGTAGCCAACACGCCGTTTTACTTTTCCCCCTATCGGCCAACTTTTCACGGTGATTGCTTGCGGCGGCAGCGGCGGCGGAGCGGGGTGATGTTGCTGCTGTCTTCATCCGCTGTTGCGCTGGAACAGTAACAGAAGCTCAGTCTTTTTTCTTGTCTTGTATTATTTCCCTCTCTCTCTTTGTCCGTGTCGTTTTGTGCGCGTGGCTCACAGAGTGCTCAAGCCGCACAACTTTGTCGCCGTGAGCCCATCGCGGCTGCAGGTCGCCGGCCAAGCGGCGATGGAAAGCATCCCCCTAGTTTTCGAGCCGCGGAGCCGCTTCTACACGTCTCCCGTAGTCGTTTTGGATTTCCAGGTGCGTGCGTGTTACATACGTATGACCTAATAATGAGCATTATGTTGGGTTGGGAGAGGGGGAACGGTAATCCCACCCGTTTCCGATCCAACCCACTGTAAGGATGGTTTTGCATGGGGAAATCTTTGACCCCGTTCCGACGCACATGTGAACTTCTGTTCTTGTATTTTCGAGGATGATTTTGGGAAGGAGGGGGAAGAGGTGTGTGACACAAGGTGTTTCTTGCCACGCTCTCTTCGCTGATCGTCGGTGGCAATAGTTTTCTTCAGTCGCACCGAGAAATCTCGGATGTGTCTTTGTCTTCCCTACTCTCGCAGCACTTGGTGGGAAAACTTATTATTTTACATCATACGTGCCGTTCGACGCTTGCATTCGCACCACCATCAACGGCTGCGTGCACGCTGCATGCTGAGCTTATATATTTCCTCTCTCGTTCAGCCGAACGCATTGCTCATGTGCTAGTGGGTCGAGAAGCTCTCCGGTTGGTGGAGCGGGCTCTGGTGTTTTATTTCCACCTAGGCTGCAGTGTTTTACTACTTCGCGGCGCCCCTTCACCTCCCCCCCCCCACCCCCTGCCCCTCACTTTTTAACAGACAGGGGCGTGCTTCTCTCGGGCTGGGGTAATGGGTTTTAAACCAGAACTTTCGCACGGCCTAAGCATACCTCTCCCTGAACGCGGCTTGGCCCCAAAAATTTTGCCTTTTTTGCTTTTGGAATCCAAGCATCCCGTTTGCGCCTGGTGGCTGCCTTTTGTTCTCCCGCGGTCCGCAGCCGCTCAGGGGGGAGTGGGCCCATAGGGGGAAAAATAAGGATGGTCGTAAAGGGTCCCATGGTTAGGCCTCCAAGGACCCGGGCCTGTCACAAAAAGGGCGGT